AGAAGAAGAAGAGGGTTCATTCAGGAAACATACCTGAGTAGAAGAAGAAGATGCCTCGGAGGAGGTGGATGCTTCAGAAGATCCTTCATCAGCATTAATGGCCATCATACAGACGTAGGCTTTATCTTCTTCATCAGAAGATGATTCATCAGATGATTCAGCCCAATCATGCTCTTCAGCAACAAGACCTTTAGACTGTTGCTGGTTTTTCTTCATCTTCTTGTACTTCTCCTTTAGTTTAGAGTACTTCTCATCAATGGTCCTGAAGGAGGAAGGAGCTTTAGAGGATGGCGTCACAATCTTCTTCGATCTGCATTCACTTGCAAAGTGTCTAGGCCGGTGACAATTATAGCAGACARCTGAAGCCTTGTCTATTCTTTCAGACTTTGGTTTCTCCCTAAGGGATAGCTGAGGAGATCTGCGGAATTTACTCTTATTGGTGAACCTCCTAAATGACTTAGTTAGGAGTGCCAGGGACTCATCAAAATCTGTTAAATCAGATTTTGGAATGTCCTTAGAAGAGTCCATCTCCGTGATGACCACGGGAGGAAGAGAAGAAACAAAAGGAGTAGAAGTATCAACTGAAGAAGATTCAGAGATCAAAGCTAAAGGAGAGCTTTTCATTTCCTTGGATTCTTTTACAAGATTCCTTTTCAGTTGACGAGATTGCTCATGGTTAAGCAGAATCCCGTATAAAGACAAAGAGAAAGAGTGGACATGTCATTTGACATCTTAAGACACATGGAAAAGGTGTCCCAAGACTCAGGAAGACATTCTAGAAACTTAGTAACAGTTTCAGAATTAGAGTATTCCCTGTCGACAGCCCTAAGATCAATAAGAAGGCAAATAAAACGTTGATGTACTTCAGACAGTGTCTCGGACTTTCCACAGAGAAAGCTTTCATACTGTCTTACTAGATTGATCATTCTAGTCTCCTGAACCTGAGTGGTTCCTTCATATTGGACACATAGAGTATCCCATACGGATTTAGAAGTTTTGAGTTTC